TATTAACTAACAATTACTAAACATAAACATCGCCAACCCATCAGTTCACTGTTTACAGAGTAAACTTAATATAAGTAAATTTTATATGCAAACTTATGATCTATAATATCTAAAGTGGCAAAAATAATCTTAACTAATAATAAAGTTCCTAAGTAGATGTCACACAAAATATTACAGGAGAATGTTTACCAAGAGAAAATCGATTAAAGCAAAGTATAATATCGACGTTGGCTGTATGATACATGTGTCCTTTGTCCATAAAAGACTAAAAAAAGTAATACATAGTTGTCATTGTCAAATCAATCAAATCAAAACCCAAAATTTAACAAAAAAAAATCTAATTAAAAATATGTGGTAGGTACATTTATAAAAAGATAAGTATTGTTACTAATATCAAGCCTAGTATAAACAAACCTACTAAGTAAAAAACCTCAACTAAGAAACAAAAGAAAACGAAACGCAAGCAAGTTATGTATTACAAGATAAAATCTTATTAAGTTTATATTTAGAGAAATAATAATTCCTATTCAGACTATAATATTAGAAGAAAACAACTTAAATAAATAATTACAATAATACTGCTGTAAAAAAAGTGAACAACTTATGACTACAGTACAGACAATATTGTTCTGTACTACAGTCATTACAACCAAGAAGATGCGGGACTATAAACACGTAAGTAAATATATGTAAATAAATAATATAAAACAAGGGGTTACAAAAATAAAAGATACCTAGGAATACCATATTATGTAAATTAAGCAAGCTATTTTTTAGCAATTAAACGGCGGGACCTTTTAGAATCCTCTTTCTGCACCACCACACCAACTTCATTGCGAGGAGAAGTCTCACACAGAATTTTTTGTGCTTGCAAAACTTTGCAGTGCTTGTATGGGTTTCTTTACGCTTTTAGTAATACTGCTGTTAGAAGCCATGCTAAGACTTGCTGATGAAAAATCAACAGGAAACTGTTTAATAAGAGTATCAATCTCCTCCGCAGTGAAGATTTTGGCCCGTTCATTATTGGGAAGTTTGATAAAAATTGCTCCATCTAAGGTCCACACATTCTTCATTTCAAAATGCTTGCGGGCTTTTTTTAAGAACAGATTGCCTCATTTTAGTTAAAAACAGACACAGATATTTGAGAGCCCTTTAACTTAGTTTTAGCTTTCCACACTTCAGACTTTGTGTTATGCTCTTGAAATTGTACAAGAATTGGACGTGAGCGACCATCCTTTTGAACACCAATTCGATGGAAACGTACGTATTCGATGTTCTTGGTTATATAACCATTGTAAACTGTTCATCTCCTGTTAGCGCAACTTTCATTTGCACACATATACCTCTGGTCTCAAAAACTGTAAACCAACTGCAAAAACCAATATAAAAACCTATATACAATACCACACGCTCACACCTCATAAACACGTTATTTACACATTTACAAAAACTACACCCACAGTACAAACACATAACATACTACAACAACCATTCACTCTTACATACTACAGTGTTAACAACCTACTCTCATTGATAAAATCTACCTATTCTCGTGTCTACTTGCAAGTGTTATTAACAAACTTTTCTTTACTCACTCTATTTATTAACCTCTGCAGTAACTAACTCGGTACTTACTCTTTTTTAAATGGACAGCCAGCTCACTAACCAGGAACTAGACTGCATGCAAGTAACACACTCGATTAAATGTAATATAGACGATTTAAGTTACCATGGGTTGGGTTCCTTCCGTAATAATCTATTTATTGTAACGCAAAATATGGCTAGTATCTATAAGAACCTCGATGACCTTTTGGTTACCCTATCAGTGTTGAACTTTGAAATTGACGTTCTTATACTTACCGAATGCAGACTAGACCTTAACAAACCAATACCATTTTTAAATAATTACACCTCCTACCAATCAAGTTAACTTTTTAAATCTGAATGATGGGGTAGTAGCTTATATCAAAAACAATCACCGAGCTAAGGTTATTGACCTTCACCTCTCTGACACTACTGGACTACAAATAGAGTTTGATAAATATGTCTTTCTGGGTATATACCACTCCCCCTCTTTTCTCAACGTCGATAGTTTTACTAGCCTGTTAACCAAGCCATGCGCACTTTTGATCGTACAATACCATCCTTCCGTCCGCCAAGTAGTGCGCTAATTAGATCAGAATTATGTAAACGTGTGTACCTATGAAAAAACTATTTTTTCGTTTTAAACAAAACCAAAGACACTATGCAATAGATAATAGTATCAAAGACAAAGATATGCTCTTTTATTTTAAACCATAACCTGGCAATGTTTCTTAGAAAAAAAAAAAAAAAGAAATCACTCTGAACTTTCGGCGTTCCACGTGTCGTTTTGATGAAGGTGCTCCGTCTTTTTTATAGAATTTTATATTTGTGTCTGGACTAAAAACGAAAGTGTTATACTTTTTTATATTCCTTGTAATATAGTAAACACGTAGATATATAATTTGTGGTATAAAAAGTGAAAAGTAAATTGCCAAAAGTACTTCAAAATCCGGAAGCTCCATTTTGGCGGTTGGGTCATAAATGTGTTATTTTCCAAATTCTCAATTATTTTTAGTGTAAAATGTAAGTAAAAATAGTTTTCTTACATATTTCAAATAACTTGACGTTGTTTTTATTTTAAATTCACACAAAAATATGTTTGAAATATTTTTCGAAAGGTCATACAGATAAAATATTATTATTATTTTTTTTAAATTTTTTTATATTTTAATATTTTGGTATGAGTAACGAATGGAAACACATAAAACATAAAAATATACATATTTCCAAACATTTTCATATAAATTTCTCTAAAAACAAAAGTGTAGAATTCAAATTAGTAGTAGTTTTGTCACTAAAATTGAAGTACATACTACTACTATGCTATACAGGGTAATTTACGTATTTTATTACAATTTCTAGCAACCAAAAATAATTTTATTCGATAGTTTATACATTCAACAAGAATTCCTGTAAGTTTGATCCATAAATATTGTCTCAAAGTGAAAATATAGCAAAATTTGCAATATAGCAAAAAATTCGCTAATTTGCAAATTTTCCCGCCATTAAGGTCCCGAGCGAACGGGAGTATAACATGTCGCGCGTTCGCTTGGCGAACAGGCTAGTTCCCTCGACTTACACCTGGAAACTATTAGTCATCATAAAATGTGCCTGTCATAGATGACGTAAATATTAACCTGCTTCCCGTAGCTACAGAGAAGCCTCAGTATTGCCGTAATAGACTCAGCTACTTAGAAGTATTATCCCTGCATGGCCTATTACCTGGTCACACTTTACCTACGAGAAAGAGATCCTGCCTTGACCACGTAATAATAAAACTTTAAGTCAACCTCATTGCAGCTTTTATTGCCATTCTTAACACGAAGGTCACAGATCACAATCTTGTTTTGCTTCAGTTATCTAAAACATCGACCCAAAAAGCCCCCATTAAGTCTAAGTTAATTATAGATTTTGATGGCGCATATAATACCCTCATATCGACGAGTGTCCCACTTTTAGAAATGCCAAATAGCCCTGAAGAATTTGCCAACCACTTTATTAATATAATTAATTAAGCTATCCAACAAAACTCTAAATTAACCCACTCTTCTAACAGTTAAATGATATTAAAACCCTGGATAACACCCGGAGCTCTGAGGTGTATAAGGCTAAGAAATAAATTGCATCAAAAGGTAGAAAATGAGCCCCACAATAAAATCTTAAAAATAACTTACAAACCTTTTCGAAATTTCTGTTCCAACCTTATTAAAAAAACTTAAACGACAGCATCATGGAGAACTTATTACAAAATCTGCTAATAACCCACGTAAGTTCTGGAAAACACACTAGATTCATTGAACTATGTCAACAACTACTTTGCCTGTATAGGTGCTAGCTTAGCTGAAACTATTGCTACAAGTTCAGATACTAGAAGTTGTGTATTAGTAGCCCCTACCACTAATTATACACAAACCTCATCCTTCGTCCTGCTAAATACTGACGACAAAGAAGTTGAGCGCATCTTGATGAGTCTAAGCTCAGGGAGCTCACCTGGATAGAATGGTATCAGCACTGGTTTTTTAAAGCATGCTAGAGAATTTATTGTACCGTATATACGTAACCTTGCAAACCTTTGCTTCAGTACTGGTGTCTTTTCCAGCGCCTTAAAGAGGTCTATAGTAACCACTGTGCATAAGGGCGGGGACAGAGAGGATGTAAGCAATTATAGACCTATCTCTGTCCTCACCTCCATCTTCAAAATAATTGAAAAGTTGCACAACAATAGATTAGTTGATTACCTAAATAAATTTAGACTACTATCCAATTCTCAATGTGGTTTCAGAAAGGGTCTTTCAACTCAAGATGCTATTCTTGATCTCACTTCAACTATAGTTGGTGAAGTGGACAATGGCAGCAAATGTCTTACAGTCTTTTTGGACTTGAAAAAGGCTTTCGACACCGTCTCTGTGCCTATTCTTATATACAGGCTAGAATGCTTAAGTATTAGGGATACTCCACTCATGATTTTTAAAAGTTACCTACAGGAAAGAACTCAGGAAGTAAAAAAAATAATTTATACAGTGATAAAGCCACTACTAGTTTTGGAGTCCCACACTTTTAACACGTTCATTGCCACGTCACGTGACGTCGTGTGAAGCGGCCTATTACGCTGTGGCTGTTTACGCGACGTCGCGTGATGGTGCCTTACAATTGTATATGAGCCACAAAATAACGGCCGCAGCGTATTGGATTCTGGTATTTTTTTTTGGCCACTAGGGAAGGAAATTACCTATCTATTTGTGGGCGTGGCCTGCGGTCAGCCATCTTGAATTTTTTGTTTCGCGTGCATCTAGCCGCGCACTAGCGCGTGCATCTAGCCGCGCACTAGTTTGCTCTGTGCAGCCACGTGGGGTAGGAGTGTTTTTGTTTTTTCTCGGCTGTTTTCATTTTGTTTACATCAAAACTTTGTATTTATAATGAGTAGTAATCCGAAACCGATAAAAAGTTCATCAGAGCCTAGTACATCACGAGTTGCAAGAAGAAAACGACTAAATAGTTCGGAAGTGGAAGAATTTTTACGGGACTCAGACGAAGATGTTTATGCAGGGAGTGATGTAGATTATTTAAACTACATAGCCGATGAAGGTGATGCAAGTTCAGAATCTGCAGGAGACGAGGAGGAGGAGGAAAACGTAGAGGCTGTGCCTGAACAACGTTTCGATGCCTCTAGTGTTCAGACTCCATCGTCGCCACCGACTGACCTTCAGCAGCCATCCAGAACAGCATCTACGACACGTTGGACTACCGATTCTAGTTCGATGAGAGATATTTCTTTCACGAAGACAAATGAACTGCTTGTGCCACCACCAGACAGGCCTAATCAGTATGTTGATTTATTTCTTACTGATTACTATCTACAAAAAATCGTCGATTCCACTAATAGAAATGCAGAAAACATAAGGAATTCTACGCAGTTTCGCAGGTCTCGTATTACGAATTGGAAACCACTAACTATAGAAGAATTGAAAATATTTATTGATTTACTTTATCACACTAGCACAGAGAAAATGAAACGCTTGGTTGATTACTGGAAATCGCATCGATTGTATAAGTCAGTTTTATCTGAACATATGTTGAGAAACAGGTTCCAACTTATTTTGCGATGCCTACATTTTGTTGAAGAAGGTGACGATCCTGCCCGCATGAAGAAATGCAAAATGATAATTAATACCTTCAATGAAACAATGGACAGGATTTATTATCCTGGTAGAAATTTGTCTTTGGATAAATCTATGGTTTTATTTCGTGGCCGCCTGATATTTCGGCGATACATAAAAGGAAAACGACACAAATACGGAATAAAACTCTATATATTGTTAGAACCAAATGGAACTATCATAAGAGTTCATGTTTTTGCCAGTACAATGGATGAAACTTTTGGCCGAGGACACACAGAAAAAATTGTAGAAAAGTTTAATCAAAATAATTTAGATTTCGGCCACGCTGTCTTTATGGACAATTTTTATAATAGCTATAGCTTAGCTACCAAATTATTGGACAGGAATATCTACTGCACTGGCACATTGAACAAGAAACGCAAAGATAATCCATCAGAAGTGATTTCCAAAAAAACTAAAAAAAGGTGAAAATATTTCACGCTATCGTAACGGTGTTCATATAGTAAAATGGAAGGATAAAAGAGAACTAAATTATATCTCATCGCAAATCGCAGATCAAATGCAGGAAATTACCAACAAACGCGGCATTGTTGTATTAAAACCATTAGCTGTCCTACAATATAATCAAAACATGTGAAAGTGTGAAAGAAAGACTCTAAGGTGGTATGTGAAAATTTTCATACATGGTATAATGATGAGCATGATAAATGCTCGACAACTCTACAACAAATTCTCGGGCAAGTCTAGCTTATCGTTATATGATTTTAGAGAAAAAGTCATTGAGTCATTTTTGCCTGAACGTCAAGTAGCCACAAATGTCGCAGGAGTCGCAGTAATCTAAAAACCACAGATTGACAAAAATAGAGAAATCTAAAGAGCATTTTTCCAGTACCGGTAGAAAAGCTACTGTAACGGCCAGAAAGGATTGTCGAAATTGTTATTCGAATAAAAAAAGGGTAAATACTACTATGGAATGTAAGCAATGCCCTGATTCCCCCCCGTTTTGTATTGAATGTTTTTTTGACCTGCACAAGTTTGCTGGTTTTTCTAATAAGTAAAAACACCTACCAAAGTGTAATTTGTTTTTCTTAGTCTAACTATAAGTTCATTGTTACCTATAAGTTACATGTTTCTACATTATTATAAGAAGTGATATTGATCTGTAATAAAAGTTTATTACAAAATGCATATTGAATATTTTTTTTACTAATAAAAGCCTATTTTGCCATGTAAATACAAATCACGTGAATTCGCGTTACCGGCCATGTGGGCAATATGTATATAATAAATGCGTCCCGTATGGCCGATCACACGTCTTCGCGTGATAAAAATATACACATATATTTACGAACTTATATATTATATAATGGTAGATTCCTTATATAAAAGCATTACTGGCACAATAAAAACCACATACAACGATTTTTTTTAATTTGGCCATCTACGTAAGTTCAGCATTTTGTCTTGGCAATGAACGTGTTAATATATTTATAAATGATCTATGTAATCTAAGGGATGTCGGGTGCAGGATATACTCCTACGCGGATGACACTGCGCTTGTTTTTACTGGTAGCACCTGGGATACTGTCCAAGAAAGTACTGAGAGGGGATTAGTTAACGTATATAACTGGCTTAGAGACAACCTTCTTACCTTGAACACTCAGAAAACAAAATACATCTGCTTCACTCTTTCTAATAAATCCCAACCTAACAATAACTTTGCCATTAAAATTCACACTTGCTCTAACCCTGGTAACCTGATTTGCGACTGTCCTATTATTGAAAAAGTTAGCCAAATTAAATACCTAGGTATAATGCTGGACCAACGACTTAGCTGGCACTCAGATTTGGAGCTTTTAACAAACTGCACTAGGAAACTCATATGGGTATTCAAGTCACTACGGCAAGTCATGTGTAACAAACTTAAAAACCTAATCTACATGATCCTGGCCCAATCGGTGCTCACCTACTGTATCTCGATTTGGGGAGGAGCAGAAAAAACTCACTTCCTTGCACTCGAAAGAGCTCAGAGATCACTTATTAAAGTCATCTACTCCAAACCTTATCGTTTTCCCACTGATATACTGTTTAGAATGAGTGGCCTACTCACAGTCCGAAAACTCTATATTCTAAATCTTATCTTAACGTGCCACAAATCTCTGCCTTATGTTGACCTGAGTCATAAAAGAAAGAAGGATGTCGTTGCACTCGTCACTGCCGCACGTACTGCGTTCGCTAGAAGACAATATAGTAGGCAGTCTGCTTATATATACAACAAAGTAAATAGTATACTTAAAATATACCCCATGTTATCTTACACTTGCAGGAAAACTGTAATAGAATGGTTGGATTCAATTAACTATGAAGACGTTGAAATCCTTTTCAAAAAAAATTTTGGTTCAATTAATGCTGGTTCCTGTATGCGGAATGTTCATACCAATCCCAAGGAACCTTATCCGTAGGACAAAACTCTGAGTCATTTGTTGCAGCAGGTCAAATCTGCTCAACCGCGAAGAGCTTATTTCCCTGAAGGGATACTTGGGCAGGGCGTTAAGCGGCTGGCCAATCAGGAAGTGGCCCGGGGTTAGAACTTCCAAATCATTCGGATCGCACGAGAGGAGACAGAGGGGCCGAGAGTTGAGGACCGCCTCAATTTTAGAGAATACAGTGGCAAGCTTCTCAAATGTCAAAATAGTTTCGCCAATAACGTGACGGAGATGCGTTTTTGCAACCCTAACCACCACCTCAAAAATACCTCCCCAGTGTGGGCAAGCCGGAGGGTCAAATTTTCACTGGATGCCCTTCTTGGACATCGCAGTAGTTAAATAAGTCCTGTTGCTGGACAGAAATTCGACGACCTCCTTCAAATATCTATCCGTGTCCATATAATTCGTTCCGTAATCCGACCGGATCAGGTCCGGTAAACCGCGACGCGATACGAAGCGGTCAACAAAGGCTTCAGTGCTGAGAGCACTTACAAGTTCTAAGTGAATGGCCCTAGTGGAGAGGCACACGAAAGCGCACAGATAGGCCTTATGCGAACGCGCATTACGAAGGTTGGAGGACTTGACGAGGAAGGGGCCAGCAAAGTCGGTTCCGACTCCAGCGAATGGTCGGATGGTCCCGACGCGGTCGGGTGGTAAGTCACCCATTCATCGGCTGCGATATGTGATGGTGGCCTTCAATTAATAACAAGGTATGAACTTAAAGATGACGCTCCGAATGGTGCGTCGGCCAGCCAAAATCCAAAAATCCCGTTGCAAAATAGCCGAAAAAGCGTTACACCTAGCGTGAGCATTCTGAACATGGTGGTGAGTTACCAGAAACCGAGAAAGGCGCCGTCCTTGAGGAGCAGTAACGAGTGTCTAGCCCCGTACGACAGTTGAGAATTTTTCAAAGTCCGCCAACGCGCAGCATCCCCGCGTCGTCCAGGAAGAGGTTCAGGCGGGCCAGATTGCCCTTGACAATGGAGCTTCACTTCAAGGTGTCAATCACGGGATCAAAATGCTCCGCTTGGAACATACGGGTCCAATGCATCAAGGCTTCGCGCCGCTCGCTAGGGGACAAAACGGAATCAGAGATTCGGTTGGACGGGTCTCTCGAATTGCGGATAAATCGACGCAACCAAGCGTAACTCCTAAGAGTTTATCGAGAGAGCTGTACCGTTCTAGCAGGGAGAAATCCCGAGTGGGCTTATCCTTGCCCACTCCTACTCGGGCACGTAGGCCAGGCAATTCAATCGGCTCAGAGTATTTATTCTGGGGCCAGAACGACTGAGACTCAGTCAACCAACTAGGACCGAACCATAATGGGTGGTCAACCAAAGAGGGGGCTTCATAGCCGCGAGAAGCGCGGTCTACAGGATTCAACTCCCCTAGAAAATGTCTACAAGTTAGAGGAGTGCCAAAATTCTGGATTTCGGAGTCGCAAAATCCATGCGGGGTAGCCCTGCATTTCCCGGGAGGGAGAAAGCACCTTGGCATGGAGACCCGGTTGATGTCCGGAAGGGAGGACACAATGGAGAGCCACTCTCACAAGAGAACACCGCTTATAGGGTCGTCCCAACCCAACCCGGATATCCAGAACTTTTGAAGAAAGCACGTAGCCAAAAAAAATTACCGGAGTGATCCATCCATTAGGATCGAAGGTGCGGGCTACAGTCGACAGCACAGAGCGCTTGGACCATGATTAAGGAGGGGAATCGAGTTTGACTCGATACGTGAAGGTATCCTGAACAGTCTGATATTGAATGCCCAGCACAGTCAACAAATTAGGTGCTCGAATAGATGAGAGTCTTGTTGATCCTCTCCTGGGAGGTCCTTCAAAATACAAGGGGAGTTCGACAACCATTTGCGCAACTCATAACCTCCTGACTTCAGGATGGCAACAAATTCATCTCGCAATGCAAGAGCCCCCTCGACGGTGGAGGCGCCCGTGCAAATATCGTCCATGTAGACCGAAGTCTCCAAAGTAGAAGCCCCCCGAGCGTATCTTAGACGCTCTCTCTCAGCGAGTTCGAGGAGGTTTCGCATGGCGATATACGGGCTGGACCAGAGTCCATAGGTGGTGGTGTTCTACTCAAACACCTGTATCGGATCGCTGGGCTTCTCACGCCACAATATCAGCTGATATCGACGGTCAACACTATGGACCACTAATTGTCGAAACATCATCCGAATATCGGCTACAAAAACCACTTAGTGCCGTCAGAAGTGGGTCAAAATGTTAGATACGCCCTTGATCAATTTTGGACCAGAGTAGAGACACTGTTTCAGGGACACACCATTTGACGAGGGGGCGGAGCTGTCAAAAACTACCCTAATCTTACTCCCGGGGGTCCTCAAGACCGCACGGTGCGGGAGGAAGTAGTGCTCCTGTGACCGCCAGTCGAAGTGGGACGGTGACATGTGACCCAGCTCTTGATACTCGCGCATGAACTCGACATGTTTGTCGCGAAAGGCTGGGTCGCGCCGGATACGGCGCTTCATGGAAAGCGACTTCTTTTCGGCCAGAGTACGAGATTGGCCCAAAGGGGGCCGTGAGTCAAGAAAGGATAAGCGAATTGTACAACGACCGTCGACACGGCGACCGGTATTGTTCTGGTAGAACAACTCGCACTCACGGTCCAGAGGGTTGACTCGAGGCGCGTGTGGTGGCTCCTCAATTTCCCAGAACCGCTGGATGACGTCCGAAATTTCCCAAGATTCCGTCAAGGTAGACAAAACACCGTATGCCTTGGAGAGTGACCTCCTGACCTGAGTACCTGTGAGAGCGGTGTTCATCAGTCGCTGGAAAGTGGCAGGAGCGTTTTTTAAGCTATCCTGGTGAATTCGTAGAGTCCTTGTGGTACACTAAAGGCCGTTTTAGAAGCGTCTTCCTCATTGATCAAAATTTGGTGAAATCCTGACACAAGATCAAGGGTTGAGAAGTATTTGCTCTGTCCTAGCTGATCTAAAATTTCGGATATC